GGGTGCTGGGCCTGGAGGTGCGGAGCCTGCGCCTGCTGGACCTGGGGGCTCTCCGGTTCTTCAGTCTCGGCGGGAGCCGCTCTCTCCACAGGAGCTGCGCGAGTGGTTTGCTCGCCGTTGGAGGCGTGCTGCTCGAGCTGGAGCTTCTTCGCCTGCTGAGGGTGCTGGTGCTGTCGGTCCCGGAGCTGCTGGGCCTGCGGGTCCTACTGGAGCTGGAGCTACTAAGTCTGGGGGTGCTGAGTCTGGAGCTGCTGAGCCTGGAGGTGCTGAGTCTGGAGCTGCTGAGCCTGGGGTTTCTCCTGCTGCTGCGTCTCGCCGGGAGCCCCTCTCTCCACAGGAGCTGCGCGAGTGGTTTGCTCGCCGCTTGAGGAGTGCTGCTGGAGCTGGAGCTTCGTCGACCATCGAGGGTGCTGGTGCTGCCGGTCCCGGAGCTGCTGGGCCTGCGGGTCCTACTGGAGCTGGAGCTGCTGAGGGTGTTGGTGCTGAGACTACTGCTGTCTGTCCTGGCGGTGGTTCTGCTGCTGGTGCTGCTGGAGGTCCTGCCGCTGGAGGTGTTGGTGGCGCTGGTGCTGTCGCTGAGGGTGCTGGTGCTGTCCCTGCTGAGTCTGGAGCTGCCGCGCGGCCTCGGCCGTACTTCGTTCCGCTCCTACAGCAGGTTCTTGGTCTTTCTCCTTCGGTAGAGTGTCCACAGCCTGTCCAGTCGCCGTCACTGTTGGAGCCTTCCTCTCCTCTGCCTGCTCCCTCTCCTTACACTGGTCCTACTGGAGGTCTTGCTGAGCGTCGTGAGCCTGCGTCTCGTCCCGCGTCGCCTGTTCGTGCTGCTCGCGCTAGTGGTCGCGGTTCGCGTCAGCGTCCTCCTCCTGTCCCTGGCACGCACCGGATGTCTCTGCGTCCGTCCACTTCTCCTCTGCGTGCCCCTTTGCCTTCTCCTCCTGAGTCCTCTCTTCCTGCGCTTGCCGACCCTGAGTCGGACTCTCTTCGTGCTGCCAGTCCTACTGTCACGCGTCTGCTTGCTACTGTCGTCGCTGACCCCTCTTTTGAGTCCACTGCTGCGTGTGCTCTTGTCGCTGAGCTCGTCGACTTTGCTGCTCGCTGTCGTCTAGACTACGCTGCTAGTCTTGTTGCTGAGTCTGCGTCTGTCTGTCCTCCGTCCGTCGGGGGTGAGTGTGCTCTTGGCACGGACGTCCTAGAGGACAGGCAGGAGGAGTTACAGTGTCTGGCTGCTGCTTCACCTCATCTCGCGTCTGTACTGCTTGCTCCTGAGGGAGACCCGGATGCACTAGACATCCCGACTCCGCGCTCTTACGCGGAGGCCGTAGAGGGTCCCTACTCCTCTCAGTGGCAAGCAGCTATGGATGCAGAGATGGCTTCCTGGAAGTCCACAGGCACCTACGTTGACGCAGTTCCCCCTCCTGGGGCGAACATCGTCAGTGGCATGTGGATCTTCCGGGTGAAGCGGCCGCCGGGCTCTCCACCTGTCTTCAAGGCGCGGTACGTTGCTCGTGGCTTCAGTCAGCGGCAGGGAGTTGACTACTTTCAGACCTTCTCTCCCACCCCGAAGATGACCACTCTTCGGGTGCTGCTGCACATAGCCGCTCAGCGCGACTACGAGCTTCACTCTCTCGACTTCAGCACTGCGTTCCTGCAGGGTAGCCTGCACGAGGAGATCTGGCTGCGCCGTCCACCTGGCTTCACTGGGACTTTCCCTCCTGGCACCCAGTGGAGCCTCCGACGGCCAGTCTACGGTCTCCGCCAGGCACCGCGTGAGTGGCACGACACACTGAGGACTACGCTTGCGGCTCTTGGGTTTGCTCCTTCTACTGCTGACCCGTCGCTGTTTCTGCGCACCGACACTTCACTGCCGCCGTTCTACATCCTCGTGTACGTTGACGACTTGGTCTTTGCCACAGCGGACACTGCTGGACTCGCCTACGTGAAGTCCGAGCTGCTGAAGAGACACACGTGCACAGACCTGGGTGAACTGCGCAGCTACCTTGGCTTGCAGATCACTCTGGAGAGAGCACGCCGCACCATCACCTTGACTCAGTCACACATGGTGCAGCAGGTCCTTCAGCGCTTCGGCTTCACGTACTCCTCGCCTCAGGCCACTCCTCTGTCTACTCGCCACTCACTCTCATCTCTGCCTTCGGATGAGTCCGTTGAGTCGAGTGGCCCGTACCCAGAGCTTGTTGGCTGCCTCATGTACGTGATGACCTGCACTCGACCTGACCTTGCATACCCTCTGAGCATTCTTGCACGGTATGTTGCTCCTGGGAGACACCGACCAGAGCACATGGCTGCAGCGAAGAGGGTATTGCGCTACCTGTGCAGTACGTCGGGCATGGGGCTAGTGCTTGGAGGGCGGAGTCCAGTGGTCCTTACCGGCCACGCGGACGCTTCTTGGGCTGACGACCAGGCTACACAGCGCTCGTCACAGGGTTACACCTTCAGCCTTGGTTCCGGCTCTGTCTCGTGGCGGTCTACTCGCTCGTCTTCGGTTCTCGGCTCCAGTTGTGAGGCTGAGATCTACGCCGGGGCCATGGCTGCACAGGAGCTTCGCTGGCTCACCTACCTGCTGACTGACCTTGGAGAGCCGCCTCGTTCTCCTCCAGTGCTGTACGTAGACAACAAGGCCATGCTGGCCTTGTGTCGAGAGCAGCGCTTGGAGCACAGAACGAAGCACATTGCTCTCCGCTACTTCCTTGCTCGTGAGCTGCAGCAGCGTGGTCAGTTGCGACTTGCGTACGTGGCCTCTGAGGCCAACACTGCTGATGTGTTCACCAAGGCACTCGCGCCTTGTGACCATCAGCGCTTCTGCACCCCGCTGGGTCTTGTGCCTGTCTTGCCTCACTTGCTCTCCTCTTGATTTTACTTGTACTGTGACATATATATACCTGCTCTTGCTTGTCTAGTCTTCTATATATGTCTGTACTCTTGCTTGTGAACTGGCCTCTGGCCCTGCTCTTGTGCTCGGACTGTGTGGTGACTTTGTGATCCACCCTGAGCTTGCTTTGCTTTGCTTTGCTTGACTGGTCTTGTGACCCCTTGTTCTCCCCCACTTTGCCTATGGGGGTGTGTCAGATTACTATAGCTGATGCATGTTTGTAGGCTATAGTGGGGTAGCACATATGGGGTACAGCTTTCTAGGGTTGTATTTGTACCCAACCCTGACTTAGTCATTTTCATTCCTGTTTGCTTATTCTCACAGGCCTACCTACCCTCGCACCTCCGCCTACTTGCACCTCCCTAGCAATACCTCAATCTCCAGCAGCAGCATCTCATGCAGCAGCAGCAGCAGCAGCAGCATCAGTTCCTGCAACAGCAGCAGCAGCCGCAGCACACACACAGCAGCAGCAGCCATGGGGACCTGGGCCGCAGTGGGGACTTGGAGTTGCGCCCTGGCAGCAGCAGCAGCTGAACTTCGGAACGGCTACCATTGCCACTCAGACCTCCCCCGCCCCTCTCTGGGGCGTCCCCCCTCCCCCTCCCTCCCAAGGTGTGGCCACTCCTCTCACGCACGATAGCTTCCCTGGTAACATTGCTATCACTCCGTCTCTTCCTTCCATGTACCCGTCTTCCATTAATTAGACTACTTTCCAGTATTCCATGTCCCACACTTCCCCCACCTTGGACTTTGTCCTTGATAGCGGGGCCACTGAAACTGCACTCAAAGATACCGGCACCCTCACTCCACTACCTCTTCCCACTCAGGTACACGGTGCTGACGCCAGCTTTTCCATCCCCTGCACCCACCTTTCCACTCTAACATGCACCATTTTTCCATCTGGTAAAGTCACTGGTCTTCACATTCCCACCCTCCGCAACAACCTTCTCTCCCACCGTGAGCTCCAACACGCAGGTATCACCGCTGTCTATCCAGGTTATGCAACCTACTGTGACCTCTACCACACTGCCTCTGGTCGCTTCCTCCAAGGCATTCCCCTCTGCCCTCGCACTCGCCTCTACACACTTCGCATTATTCGTCCCTCCTTCTGCCATGTCACTATCTGTGCTGGCACCTCCACTAACCCTCCTCTCTTTCCTCCCCCGGTATCCACCACTCCTTCACCTCCGCCCCCCTCCTACATTTCGTCCCCCCCATCCCCCTCCTCCTCGGAGCATCTCTCCCATCTTGCTGTGCTCTTACATCACCGCCTCGGCCATCCCAACTTTGCAGCCCTTCGCACTGCCATCACCTCCCGTCTCCTCCACAGCCTCCCCCCCACCCTCCCTCCCCTTCCCTCCTCCTCCGCTCCCCCATGCCCCTCATGCATCCACGGCAAACTCAAGCAATCTCCCCATCACTGCCATCCCTCCTTCGCTCCTGCCCCACTTGACCTCGTCCACATGGACCTCTGGAGACCCTCCCCCACCCGCTCACGCCAAGGCCATCACTACATGCTGGTCCTCGTTGACGATCACAGCCGCTACTCCTCCATCTTCCTCCTCCACACCAATGACCAGGCACCGACTGTGATCATCAACTGGGCTGAGCAGTGCCACACCCACTTCAAATGTCCCATCGGCCGCCTCCACTCTGACGGTGGGGGCGAGTTCCTCAATCACACTCTCTCCAACTACTGCGCCACCTATGGCATTCAACAGACTCACCCCTTCCCCACTCTCCGCAGCAGAATGGCGTCGCAGAGAGCCGCATCCACGAAATCACCAAAATCGCCCGCTGTCTCCTCGCTCACGCCTCCACCCCTCCTTCCCTCTGGGGCTATGCGCTCCTTCATGCTGCCCTCCTCCTCAACCTTCACTCCCATCCTCACCACACTGCCACTACCCCCCCACAGAACTCTGGGCGGGCACCAAACCTAATGCTGCAGGCCTCCGTGTATGGGGTTGCAAGGCATATGTCCTTATTCCTCCTCCCGGTCGCACCCACGGCAAGCTTGCCTCTCGTGCTCTGGAGTGTGTCTACGTAGGACACAACCGCGACTCACCCGGCAACCTCTTCCTCCACCCTCCATCCGGACGCCTCATCCGTAGAATCGATGTCGTCTTTGACGAGACCATCCCCTACTACTCTACTCCTCCACCTGACCCTCTCCCTCCCCCTTCCCGGCCCCTCGCCTGGGCCGACACTGTCCTTCCTCCCCTCCTCCCTCCTGCACCACTCCTGCCACCTCTCCCTGCTCCACTCCCTCCTCCCTCATCTGCTGACATCTACGATCCTGCTGCACCTGCGTCCCCCGCCCACTCCACAGCCCCTCCCCCCCCCCCTCCCCCTCCTCCCCTCCGTCTCCTTCACAGCAGCAGCAGCAGCAGCAGCCGCAACCGTAGCAGCAGCAGCAGCAGCAGCAGCAGCAGCAGCAGCACCAGCAGTAGCAGCAGTAGCCGCAGCAGCTGCAGCAGCCGCAGCAGCAGCAGGGGCAGCAGCAGGGGCGGCAACAGGGGCAGCAGCAGCAGCCGCAGCAGCAGCAGCAGGGGTAGCAGCAGGGGCAGCAGCAGGGGCAGCAGCAGGGGCAGCAGCAGGGGCAGCAGCAGGGGCAGCAGCAGCAGGGGCAGCAGCGGGGAGAGCAGCAGGGGCAACAGCAGGGGCAGCTGCAGGGGCAGCAGAAGGGGCAGCAGCAACGGGAGGAGTAGCAACAACAGCAGCAGCAGGCGCTCTATCAGCACCAGCATCAACAGCAGCGGAGAGCAACTGCTCGCTCCTCACCTTTCCTCCTCCCCCTCATGCATACCTGCTCTCTTGATCCTATCCTTGGTGCCGCACCCCCTAACTCTCTCCACCTCCTTGAGGACTCTCACGAGGAGCTTACTACGGTCCAGCAGCATACTCCCTCTCTCGCCCCGCTCTATCCCAACTTCCTTGGCGCTCTTGTCCTCAGCGCTGTCTCCGCTCCCATCTTTGTCCCCTCCACTTTCCAGGAAGCTATCACCTGCCCTGATGTTGGCAAGTGGATAGCCGCCATCTTCCTGGAATGTGAAGCGTTCATTCGCAACGACTCCTTCGTCGACGTTCCCCTCCCCGCCGACGCCAACCTCGTTGAAGGCAAGTGGTTTTTTCGTGTAAAGCAGCTGCTAGGAGAGGAACCAGTCTACAAGGCCCGCTAGGTTGCGAAGGGCTTCACCCAGGAATGGGCAAAGGATTTTGGGTTCACCTTCGCCCCCACTATCAAGCCACCCACCCTTCGTGCCCTCCTCGACATTGGTGCACGCGACGACATGGAGATTGACTCCATGGATGTCTCCAACGCGTTCCTGCAAGGCAACTTGCACGAGCGCATCTTCCTGCGGCGGCCCCCCGGCTTTCATGCCTCTTTCCCCGATAACACTGTATGGCAACTACGCCGCCCGGTCTACGGCCTGAAGCAGGCACCATGGGAATGGCATGCAAAGTTGTTCGCAACTCTCCGGTCCCTCGGTTTTTCTGCCTCCCACTCCGATGCCAGTCTCTTCATCTGCTCCTCGCCCCGTCGCTTCTTCATCCTGGTCTATGTTGATGACATGATCCTGCTTGCCGATTCCAAGCCAGACATGGTCCAGGTGAAGGGGTCGTTGCAGGAGTGCCTCAAGTGCAAGGATCTTGATGCGCTGCAGAACTACCTTGGCATGACTATCACCCGTAACTGAGCTGCTCACACCATCACACTCTCCCAATCTCACTACATCGGCCATGTGCTGGAGAAATTCGAGATGGCACAAGCCAAACCCGTTCCCACCCCCCTCCCCTTCGGTCATCAGCTGGCACCACCCACCTCTCCCTCCTCCTCCTCCCGTCCCTATGCCGAGCTTGTCGGGTCCCTGATGTATGCCATGATGTGCACACGCCCCGACCTCGCCTATCCCATCTGTGTCCTTGCTCGGTTTGTGGGCACCGGCCGCCACATTAAGGAACACTGGTCAGCCGCCAAGAAGGTTCTCTGCTACCTCCGCGGCACCAAGGACCACGCCCTCACACATGGCGGCTCCTCCCGTCCTCTCCTCACTGGTTTTAGCGACTCCTCCTGGGCGGACTCGCAACCGGACCGCCGCTCCTCTCAGGGTTATGGTTTCACACTTGGCAGCGGCCTGATCAGTTGGCGCTCCACGCGCTCCTCTGCGATTGCACTCTCTTCATGTGAGGCCGAACTCTACGCCGGAACCATGGCCGCTCAGGAGTGCCGTCGGCTTTGCTTTCTCCTTGATGAGCTCGGCGCCCCTCAGCGCTGCCCCACTCTCTGGTGTGACAATGCCAGCACCATCCATCTTAACCAAGACCCCGTCTTCCACGACCACTCCAAGCATATTGAGCTCCACTACTTCTTCATCCGCAAATTAGTCCAGAAGGGTCTCGTTGCCGTTCGCAAGATTGCCGCCGAGGCCAACTTGGCCGACATCTTCACCAAAGCACTTCTCCGCCCTGCGCACTCTGCTCTCCTTCGCCTTATCGGCCTTGCTCCCCTCGGCGCTCCCTGATTCAGGGGTTGAAACCCTCTGTCTCTTCCGATCTTCTCCATTCCTGCAGGTTAATGGGTTGTGTTAGAATTATCCTTCTAAACCTGGTAGGAGGGGAAGAGGAGGACGAGAGGGAAGGTCCCAAGAGAGAGTCCCCAACCAAGGAAACCCCATGCCACACAATTCCCTTCCCCATAGGCAACAAACTTTGACCTTTGTCACTTTCCAACCCATGCCATCCACCTCACCACAACTTGGCCACACTTACCAACCTGGTTTGGCTTCACCCAACCTCTTGGCAGCATCTACAGTGATGTGTTCGAATTTCCCAACCCCCACAAGTCTGTACCCCATATTGAGTCAATGCCACAACTTCCCAAAGTAGCTGCAACCAAAATATATAAGCATACGAACTCCAATGTTCGTAACTTTCTTGGTTGTGCTCCGATCGCGACGATTCTTGGTTCGTCGGAAAGCTCTTGAGTAGAGGAATCACTTCAGATATCTGCTCAAGCCAAATAACATACACACACACACACACTCACAGAAAATCCAAACCACACAAGACACAAATTTCTTGCACACGCTCACACCACGCATGCAACGCACAAACACATGATGGGAGGCAGACAGACGTGAATGCATATGGTTGCATCACACAACAAACTCCCCCTCTGGCTGCCAACCATCATCTCACATGCCATAACTCAAGCATGCACCCTCAATGCACACTCATTCCCGCAAGCTTCATGCCCTTCCAATGCTCAGGTTCTGCCAGGCGCTTGGTGAGAATGTCAGCCGCCTGCTGCTGGGTCTTCACAATCTGCAGCCGCACCTCCTTGTCCAGGAGCCTCCTTGTCCAATGCCACTTTGGCCTGATGTGCTTTGTCAAGACATGAAGACAGGCATTCTTCGCAAGCTTCACCGCCGACTCATTGTCACAGAAAATCACAGTCGGCTCCCTCTAACACACTCCGATTTCCTCCAACAAACGCCTCAGCCACACCACCTCCTTTGCCCCATGATGAAGGGCCATGTACTCTGTCTCACACGAGGACAACCCCACCTCGTTCTGCTTCTTGCTGCGCCAGCTCACTGCACCACCTCCTAAGAGGCACACATAGCCTCCAATGCTGGTGCCATCCGTCTTCACTGAGTTGAAGCTAGCGTCGGTGTAGCAAGTCAAGCGCATCTCCCCCTTGCTCAAATCAGCTGCACCCCTCTGTAGCTTCTGTCGCACAGCACTGTACTCCAAGCCCACTGATGCTGTAGCGCTCACATAGCGGACCAACCTCTTGGCCGCTTCCAGCTGCTCATGACTTGGGCATGAAACCACACTCGCAAGCCTGGATGTAGCAAAGGCAATGTCAGGCCGCGTGTGGTTAGCCGCATAGTTGAGTGCCCCCACCATGGAGTGAAACAACTTCCTGTCACTCTCCCCCACCACCTCCTCATCAGTACAGGGCTCCACAGTGAACCCCGAAGGCAGCGGGGTGGCTGGCTTTCCTGCATCTTGCAGCTCATACTTCTCAGCCAGCCCCTCACAATACGTCCTCTGGTGCAACCTCAACACTCCCTTGTCTAGGTCCCTCTCCACGTGCATCCCAAGGTAGTACTTCACATCTCCCATCTTGGAGCACTTGAACTGCATTTCCAGCATCTCCTCCACACGTTCAATCATCGCAGACGACTCAGAGAAGAGCAGGATGTCGTCCACGTACACCAGGAGTATGAGGAACTGTTCCTTCTCTTGCAGCAGGAACAGGCTGTGATCACACTCGCTCTTCTTGAACCCCCCAGCCAGCAGTGTCTCCTCCAGCTTGTGGTACCATGCGTGAGGAGCCTGCTTCAGGCCATAGATGGCCTTCTTGAGCCTGCACACCCTGCCGCTCCCATCATCCAACCCCTCAGGCTGCAGCATGTACAGCTCCTCCAGAATGATTCCATTAAGGAAGGCAGTGATTATGTCCATCTGCTTGATCTTCCAGCCACGGTTTGCAGCCATTGCCAACATCGTCCTCAGTGTAGTGCCTTTCCCCACAGGAGCAAAGATATCATCAAAGTCCTTCCCCTTTGTCTGTTGGAACCCCTTAGCCACAAGCCTTGACTTGTAGCGGGTCAGCTCCCCATCACGTCCGTACTTGTGCCTGAAAATCAGCTTGGAAGAAATGGCCTTCTTCCCTGGAGGCAGCTCACACAGCTCCCACGTCTCGTTCTCCAGCAGAGAGTCATACTCCTCCTTCACACTCTGCTTCCACTTCTCAGCAATGGGCCCACTCAAGGCCTCGGTAAGTGTCTTGGGCTCAGGGACGGCTGCCCAGTAACAGTGCGCTATCTCCTCCTCATCACACTGCTCAGCCACACTTCCAGCATGCTCCACATTTCGTAAGCCAGTGCGATTATAGCTCAGCCTAATAGGTGGGCGTATATCCCTCCTAGGACGCTCAGGCGGGCGTGGGGCACATGGTGGAGCACGTTGCTGCTGCCGCTGCTGCTGCTGTTGATGCTGCTGCGGCTGCTGTTGCTCCTCCACCTCAGGTTCTCCCCCATCCTCGGTCACCCCAGAGATCTCCTCCTCGGAGATATAAACCTCCACTTGCCTCGAGGGCCGCTGCAACTCATCGGCCTCAATGATCAGAGGTGTAGTAGGGAGCTTCTGCTGCTGCTGCTTCCACTCCTTGTAGTACAAGGACTCAAGGAACTTCACATCCCTCGACACAGTCAGTTGCTGGCTGGTCAAGTCCCAAATCAGCCATCCCTTGTGATCCTTAGCAAGCCCCAAGTGCACACCCCATCTCCCAGAGGCTTCCAGTTTTCCCCTCTTCTCCTTAGGTACATGAAAAACCACCATGCACCCGTAGGCTCTCAGCATGTTCACCGTTGGTGCACTCCCATACCACTTGGTGTAGGGGACCCACTGCTTGTCCCCCACAGTTGCCAGCACCCTGTTCTTCACAAGGGCGACCTGCCGCAGTGCAGTCACCCAAAACGGATCCGGCAGCCCTGCACGCCCAAGGAGAGTGCGAGCACCTTCCTGCAGGGTCCGGTTGAACCGCTCAGCCACGCCGTTCTGCTGAGGGTTGTAGGGCACCGTGAGCTGATGATGGATCCCCTTCTTCTTCAGCACCGCCTCAAAATCAGCGCCAATGAATTCTCCCCCGTTGTCAGTGCGGATCACCTTCACCTTATGTCCGCTCTCCCTTTGAGCCCTCGGCATCCACTCCTTAAGAACAGCCGCTGCCACCTCCCCCTTAGTCTTGAGAGGGTACACCCACACCGCACGCGTGTGGTCGTCCACAATCGTCAAGAAGTAGCG